TTGACCTCAGCAAGGTCCTTAGAACTATGCTCTTCCAATGTTCTAATGCCAGAAGTAGGTCCAACCATAGCAGAACTTGTGGCATTATTTATCTCAGGAAGAGTATGACTTGCACTGTCGTTGCCATCCGATGGATTTTTATGGGAAAATGCTCTTTCCATTGTTGAGTGAATTTCTGCTACATCAGTTTTAGATTCATCATGGGAAGCAAATGCTTTACTGTGATCGTCTCTACTAATGTTCTTAGACAGTGCATAGTCATCACACTTTTGGATATGACTCGGTTTAGTGACTTCAGGTTCAAGTTTCTTATATTCATCTGTCACATTCTCTCTTTCAACAATTTTGGGATGCAATATTTCTTTACTAGATCCACTCTTGCTGTTCTGTCCGGCAACTGAAATTACTTTTACATCCTTAGAACCTTCCTGCTCAGCTAACATATTGCCAAGCTTTACAGGCTTTGAAAGGGACAATTGATTTACTTTCTGACAAACAGTAACTGGTGATTCTGCTTGAACCTTTCCTCGGAATTTCCTCAGATTCTCCAAGGCCTTCTGCCTCAAAATCAGCTCAAGGTCATTACTGCCTGAAGAAGTTGCATTAACAGAGACCACACTGTCAATCACTCTCCCTTCTTTCTCAGATTCTCCTTCTAGGCTCTTCATCTCATCCTGATTTATAGAGAGATTAGAAACTCTCTTCCCACTTGATCTATGTCCACTTATTACATCATTGATGACACAATCTTCCTTAACCATCATCTTCTTTACCAAGCTGCTCTTATCAGATACAATACCAGAACGGCATTCTAACTTATCTTCTGCTTCATTATTTTGAGATAGATTGTTCTCCTCATTTTCCTCCTGCTGTGGGTGTTCTACAACGGTAATGACAGATTTTATGCGCCTACCATGATTCAAGCTCACATGTTCCTCCCCCTTTTGAAAAACACTGTTGAAGTCGGACTGGTCCTCAGCTGAAAGAGAAATGGCTGACTTGGTTCTACTTTCCTTAGCTTCAATTTTATGTTTATCTGGATTTATTTTATCTCTTATCTTATTCCTAGACCTGCTTTCAAGCTCAACCTCCTCACTTTCACTGGGCTCACTTTCACAACTTGAGCAGCTCAAAGAATCACTAGTAGCAGAACTGATACTTAAATCTCTCCTTCTCTTCTTTTGATGCTTCTCCTTATGTTCAGTGTTACGTTTTCTTTTTGACCTTTTCTTTTTCCTCGAAGGGGCGGAATCCTCTTTGCTCTCCCGGTTTGATGATACCCTCCTCTCCGACCGTTTCTTTTTACTTTTCACATCAGCTCGTGAGCGTGAACGACCACCTTTCCTACTTCTATAGTCCTCTTCCGAACTGGAAGAGTAGGAAGATATTGAACTTACAGAATCATCATCTGAGCAGGATGAAATGGAACGGTGGCGACGTGAGGGTTTCTTCTTCGATTTTCTACTCTTCTTACTTCGAAGAATCTAAAAATGCAACACATACAAATTCATTCTATTTGAAAACAGATAGAAGCATCCACAAGGATCCATTATAAGTAAAACATGAGAAATGTTTGCTGCAAAAACAAAAAGGCGGAAGCTTTATGACATACATTTGGCTGTAAATGCTTTCCTCAATCACAGAGTGTCTTGGGTGATCAAGGGTTTTATCAATTTAGAAATTTATTAGAAAACTTAATAAGAAAACCTATTCTAAACGATGAAGATTAGCATTCTCGAGTGTGAGTGGACATATCATAATGATAAAGAGGAGAAGAACCTCAGAGCTTTTCCTTTTGGAGGATTTTGACTTGTGACTTCCCATCAGGCTTCGACTGTTCTTCTTCGCTTACTTCAATTCCCAAAACAAACAAAAAGAAACTCGGAAGAACAAATGTTAGATGTAAATCAATAAAAAATTACAAACAACAACCGATAATTAGAAGCATGCGACTGCAAAACAGGAGAGAGTTAGCAGATTTTGTTGAGAGAAATGTTAAATGTTGCAAGACAAAGAACAGAGATGTTTTGGGGATAAAGGCGGAACGTTGTGAATCGGAGGTAGGATGGATGATCCCTTCCCTCTGCAAGTTAGTTTTGCGCGATAAAGTTCCAATTTTATCCTTGGGTTCAATTTTGGACTTGTTAAAAACCGCAGGCAAAGGCCCAACCGTCATGAGCCCGACCCTATCGAGGCCTGGTTAGGCCTTTAAGCCCAATTTGCCTTTTTCACTTCTGTATGCACAATTAATTATCAGTGGTATCAACAATATATGGTCTGTGTTATAACGCAAGGCAAAAGCTCACTTTCATTCACATATAGGCATGTATAGGGTTAGGGTTACATTGGATATGGGTCAATACATATGGACTTGGAGATTAATGGACATCCACATAATTACATAACACTCCCCCTTGGATCTACATTACTAAATAAAAACACTCTATAAGGAAAATATGAATAACTCTCTATACAAAGTGGTAATGGTGCCTCGTTAAAAACCTTGCCGAGGAAAACCCAGTGGGACAAAACCTTGATCAAGGGAAAAAGAGTGCAACACGTGTATACTCCCCCTGTTGAGAGAAAATTGTTTCAAGTCTTCGTGCTGATAACGTGTTATAACACAAGGCAAAAGCTCACTTTCATTCACGTATAGCCATGTATATATATATATACAAGGGAGGGGAGCTAGGGTTACATTGGATATGGGCCAATACATATGGACTTGGAGATTAATGAACATCCACATAATTACATAACAGTATGCCATTAAAAAAGCATTTTGATCACCTAGTTTTGATTTTTTTTCAATTCCAGTTTTGAAAACATATTTAACAAATTAGTTTCATATTTATATAGCTGCTCTTGCTCCCATTTAATGGGCTGGCACACTTGAAATCCTAGGTTGCATACATCTGTATACGAAAATCGTCCTGTAATTTTGACTTTATCAAGTTTTAGTTCAATAATTTCAAAAGTTCTCAATTTTAGTCTAGTAATTTAAATAGTGGCCCAAAATTATCTTTTTCTTCGATAATTGGAAAAGAGCAATTATCTCAGTAGACAAGGACACAGAAAATGGAGAGCGAACTGAACTGAAATATATGTATCCAGAAAACAGAAGTGTTCATAGGTAATGCCTCACCATTTGAAATTTTAAATTGATATGGTCACATTTAGTCCTGGACTCGGGCCGGGCGGATCGAACCGGGCCCGACCCGGGCCAGCTACTGTAGCAACCGGCCCGACCCGGTCGAGCGGGCCTCAGGCGGTCCGGGCCTACCCGGCCCGGGGATAGGGCGGTCCGGGCTTGGGCCTTCGTAATCTTGAACCGGCCCGGCCGGTCCGGGCCTGGTCCGGGCCTAACGGATCTATTTTAAAAAAAAAAAAATTGGGCTTTAAAACGGCTCTAATAGCCGTTAAGGTGTTTGGGGAGCCTCCAAACGGCTCAATAGCCGTTGTTGGGGGGTGGGGGGGGTGGGGGGGAGAAAAAAAAACCTATTTATACTCTTATTTTCTATACATTTTTACACCTTCTTCATACAATCCTACTCTCTAATTCTCTATTCTCTCAAATCTCAATCTCTAAAATCTTCATTCATCTTCATCTTCATCTTCTCCAATTATCTCTACATATATATTATTTATATAAATATTATTATATCTACTTATATATTTATTATCTACTTATATATACATATATTACATTACTAATATTTATTATCTACTTAATATATATTTATTATCTTCTAATTATCTACTTTACATATATATATATATATATATATATATATATATATATATATTATATAACTTATATTCCTTATCTACTTAATCTCTACTTATTATTATATCTACTTATATATTTATTATCTACTTATATATACATATAGTACTTTACTAATATTTATTATCTACTTAATATATACTTATAGTAGTATTCAATATAAGTGTATTACTCATCTTATAGTAGTATACTTATATATTATATACTATAAACATTATATATAAAATATACTTATATATATATAAAACATTATATAGATATATTCGAATTACTATATATATTAATACACTTATACAATTCTATTACCTACAAGTAGTTAATAGAATATTGTTACATTTTAATTAAAGTATAAAAGTAGTTAATTGTTGCATTTGTCATTTCGCTATTAGTTCATTTGTTAATTGTTGCATTTTTCATTAAAGTGTACACGTATTTAATTGTTATATTTTAATTAAAGTATAAAACTAGTTAATCGTTACATTTTTCATTAAAATGTACAAGTATTTAATTGTTATATTTTAATTAAAGTGTACAACTAGTTAATTGTTACATTTTTCATTAAAGTGTACAAGTATTTAATTGTTATATTTTAATTAAAGTGTACAACTAGTTAATTGTTACATTTTAAATAAAGTATAAAACTAGTTAATTGTTGCATTTTAATTAAATTATAAAACTAGTTAATTGTTGCATTTTTCATTAAAGTGTACAACTAGTTAATTGTTGCATTTTAATTAAAGTATAAAACTAGTTAATTGTTGCATTTTTCATTAAAGTGTACAACTAGTTAATTGTTATATTTTAATTAAAGTATAAAACTAGTTAATTGTTGCATTTTTCATTAAAGTGTACAAGTAGTTAATTGTTACATTTTAATTAAAGTATAGCACTTTTACATTTGTTAAGATGGAGCGTGGTAGACATTCTGTAGATATGGGAAATCTCCAACGCAACCGAAAGAAGGAGATTGCGAGAACTCATCCTAGTTTGCGCAAGAATACAGGGCAGTCCGGGTCTTCTTCTCAAAGTCGACAAGATTTTGAACCGGAATACCAACGGCGAGATGGCCATGCGATGTCCGACGAGCAACTACAACAACTATTGGCTCAAAATGATGGGCGATTTTTCCATCAACGAGACATCCCGGACGAGATTCACACCATTGACGAAGAAGAGCTCGAGGATGACGATCCGGAGGAGGACGCGGGAGGCGCCGGGAGTCACGGCACCCCGGATGAGGAGCAAGAGGCGGAGGACGAGGGTGGTTCATCCCAAACAGGTACGAAATCTAAATCTCCTATTACAGAAAATAATTTTAAAAAGTATAAAGACCCAAGCACCAAGAAATAGTACGCAAGTTGCAACCATTGTGATAAGGTGTATAGCTTGGGAACTTCGGGCGGATACGGGAGCCTCAAAAGGCATCTTATGGGCAAGCACAAGGTGGAGTACGCAAAAATTGAGAAAGACAAGGGGAAGCAAACACAAATATCGAGGTTTGCAAATAACCAACCTTATGGTAATTTCTCGTACAGTGATGAACAAAATTTGACGGGTATGGCTAACTTTATAGTTGAAGAAAATTTACCTTATCTGTTTTCTGAAGGTGTTTCTTTTCAAGAGTATGCACAAACTTGTTTAAATCCTCAATTTCGAAGTTTTAGTCGAAAAACGGTTAAGAAAGAAATTATAAGGCTTTATAAGGCGGAAAAGGCAAACTTACAAAATTTTTTTGCAAACTATGATGGACGTGTTACTGTTTGTTCTGACATATGGGAGGAAACCTATCATAATTTACATTATTTGGGTTTGACTGCACATTATGTTGATGATGATTGGAATATGCATAAACGTGTTCTTGCTTTTCGTGAATTTAATGATCGTCACACCGCTGAACATATTTATATTTTGATTGAGCGTATTTTAATTGAGTATAATTTGGTTAATAAGGTGTTTGCTATAGGTTTTGATAATGCTACTAATAATACTGCTGTTATACCTAGATTGCGTGAATTGTGTGGTTCTACTACTTTGATGGGTAGATTTTTTCATCAACGATGTGCATGCCATATAATAAATTTATGTGTACAGGATGATCTAAAAGCGCTGGGAGATGCTATGGAGGTAGCGAAGGGGGGGATTAGACGTATTTGGGCTAATGGTCAACTTAAATTAAAATGGAAAAATTATTTGAATGAAAGAAATGTGAAATATGTTGCTTTTCCTAAAGATTTGTCTATTCGGTGGAATAGTTCTTATAAATTAATTAGAATTCTTATTAGATATAAAGAACATTTTCCTGCTTTTTTTAAAAGAATATGATAACTACATTTTAAACTCCGCTCACATCGACACTTGCGAAAAAATTTGTAATGTTTTGATATTTTTTAATAATGCAACTGAAAGTTTTAGTCATGTTTATAAACCTACTTCAAACGAATTTATGCGTGAACTTGTTAATCTCGCCGGTGCTTTTAATGAATTTGAAAATGCCGATTATGTGAGCTATTTTTGTGGTTTTATGAAGGAAAAGTTTTTAAAATATTATGCACATATTCCGCATATTTATGGTATTGCATTTATTCTCGATCCTCGTTATCGACTTGGTAATTTGGAACAATGTTACAAGTTCTATTATCAATCTTTTTATGGTGATTTTCCAATGTATGAAGATAACCCTATAGATCCGCAATCTGAATACAACGAGGTTAGTAGTTTATTCTATTCTTTATTTAATGAGTTTCGTGCACAATATGGCAACGCGCCCCCTCCCCCTACCCAAACATCTTCATCTAAAGGAAAATCACTTTTTAAATCTGCATTTGGCAATCTTATGAAAAAAACTAAAACAACTCACACTACTGAACAAAGCACAATTAATGAGATTGCTTTGTATACTAACTATGAGGTTGAGTTTGTAGAAAATGAAGAATTTGACGTCCTAAAGTGGTGGAAGTCAAAAGAAAGAACGTTCCCGATTTTGGCACGGATGGCTAAGCAAGTACTATCAATGCCGGTTTCAACAGTTGCCGTGGAACAAGAATTTAGTTCGGCCGGCAACGTCCTAACTAAATCGAGAACGTGTTTGAGTGCCGAATCTCTTGAGACGCTTATATGCTACCACGATTGGTTGAAGGCAAAACGTAGAACTCAAGAACTTAGCATCACCCCCCTCCCAAGACTTTATGGATGAATCAACCGAGGGTGGTTCTATCTATGCCGGAGATTCCGATTGATTAGTATTTTACAATTTCTTATTTTATCCTCAATTCTCTATTGTAATTTGTCAACTTGTAGATTTGTAGTTCATATTTCAAATCAATATACATTATATTTTTTAATATGTCACAATTCTCAAATTAATCAAGTTACAACTTACAACTTAGATTCTTAGAAAGTTAGAAACTTACAATTAAATAATTAATTATATTATATTATTATTACTTATTACAAAATGTATTTCCTATTTCACATAAATGCACTTGAAGATTGTTTTATAATATCCAAAAGATGTATATTTTAACCATAAAAAAAATAAAAAATAAAAATAGAGGCCCGACCCGACCCGGCGGTTCACTCGACCCGGGGCCCGGCCGGGTCACCCGGCCCGAACCGGCACCCGTGCCCAACTTTCACAAACCGAGGCCCGGCCGGTTCGCGGCCCGAACCGGGCCCGAACCGGACCGAGTCCAGCACTAGTACTCACATTCTTTTCTGCTGAGATGGTTGCACATTCTTTAGTTTTTACCATTCTTGCGAAATGCTATTTGGAATCAATTATTTAAAATTTTAAAGTATGGAACCAAAACTGAGCAATGTCTAAAAACAGGATGAAAAGTTTTTTTTAATACACCTGTCTTCAAGAAGATTTTTAATGTACCCAAGTGCACATCTTTCAGGGGATTTTTAAATGACCAATTATTTTTAATATACACCTGTCTCCAAGTCCATTAAATCTATGATTGGGAGGATTCCAGGGGATAGAGAGCTACTCCGGAGCAATTATTTAAATTGTGGAACTAAATCGATAAAATGAAATTTGATGAGGATAACAATAAACAATTGGTCATTTTTGCTCAACTTTCATCAAATCAGACTTCCTCTATCCAAGTCCTTTAGTAATGCTGGTTTTTGCTTTGTTAACCAGTCTTCCAACAATGGTGCTCATCTCTAGGCTATGGGCTCGTTTTGCTTTGTAAATTGCAACGAATGGTTGAAATTGTCCACCTGTTTTTTTATCTTGTTCCACATACTGACAAGTGATCAGGGTAATAAATGTCTGATAATAGGAAAATTTCCTAGATGAAGTTGTTCCACATGCAGGGATAGTTGAAATCTCACAGATGAAGTTGTTTGCAGGGATAGGTCAAACATACAACTGAGAACCGAATGCAGAACTCCAGAGTTGGCTGAGGTTGCGACTATTTAGCCAACTATTGGTGCAAGGATAGACTCATAGAACATCAATAAAGTATGCATTTGCTTGTCGAGTGGACCTTCCATCCGACTCACAACTCAGAAAAAAAGCAAAACAAAAGCAGATATATAGACTACAAGATTTCATGGAAAGATACAATGTCTATATTCAGCCATTCAGGTGGTTGAGGGAATAAATAAAACAAGGCTCGTCTATTTCTTCCTACAGTCAAGAGACTACAACTGAATCTGGTATGGCAGGGACATACCAACCGTGATGAATCTCGACGGCTTTCTTTCGCCTCGCAAGTCGAGACTTCCTCCTTGCACCTGTGTTCCTGTGGAGGGTTCCCACCTTCACAGCTTTGTCAATTACAGAATATGCATCTCCAATCAATTTCTCCACACTAACAACTTCGTCTTGCTGCGCATCTTCCTTCTTCCTTAATACATCTAATGCTTCTAACACCTAACATGGTAAATTCAATTACCAGAAATGCACAAAGTACAAAAAAATGTATTTTTCCCATAAACTATAGCGGTCGGCAAACCTAGTCCCGCTAAAATATTGCTTTCACGATGTAGGCCAACACTTAAAAAATCAATAATGAAGTCCTGTAGCAAACTCCTTTCAAAGAAAAGTTCTGTAGCAACCTTTAAATTGCAAAATTCAGTAGAAAACTGCATTCAAGTTAGAGGAATAAGTGAAATGGCAATTTTATTAGGATTTGAGAAGGAAAAAAGCATTTTAAGAAATAATAACAAAAAAAGTCACAAATATTAATAAAGGCCTTTTTAAAATACAATGAAATGGTCACATCACCATAGTTTCCTTGATTTTTAATTTAAATAATATTTTGCAGGGAACTTTGCAATCTTTGGTGTTTGAAGACCAAATTGTCAATAATTAAGGAAACATCAATTAGTTGCTACTCGTTTCCTCATTGGTATATTTAATTGAATTTCTGGATATGCAACAAGACAAAAACATTGCAATAGCTTTGCTTTCAGTAGTGTCCTATAATCAACAAACATTGTTGTAGCATCATGAAAGGCTTTTAAGTATCTTAAGGTGTCTTATAATGAAAGCCTGCAGCATGAGGAAAATATTACACCACCAAATTCCAGTACTCCTAATTATGTGACACCCTCAAATGCAGATATATTTTATTTACCTGGCCCAGACGAACAACTTTATCTTAAACTATATATACTAAATGTAATCCATAAAAATGACTCTCTTTCAAATATTTATAGTAGCTTCAGTACAAAATGTTTTCAAACTCCAGTAACATAGCTGCATTCAGTTTTGAACTCACTACTCCATCCACAAAACATAATGGCAGTGTAAAAGGATGGATGGATACATCTACTCGGTTATATCAACAAGCTAAGCAATACATTACACAATATTAATAGCTCTATCCATCACAAAAGACATTTAGGCATTTGTATTCATTCCATAAAAGTGCTGCAAAAGGTGCTTCTGTAAAGCTTCATGAAATCCATTGAACTTCCTACTTTTGCCGATCCGCTTTTCATTGTTAAAAGACAGGGTAGGTTTTCATTCCATCCTAAAGCCTCACCAATTGTAGGCATGAGATATCAACTTAAAAAGTTGGGGAAAAGGTAAATGATGGAGAAGGTCACAAGCACAAATAAAAGTGAGTGTCCAATACTCCAATGATCAAAACTCGCATAAGAAAGCAGCATTTGCTCCAAGCAGAAATAACAAATAAAGTAAGTCTATTTGCTTGTTTTACTGACCACTTAAAACATAGAAAAACAAAGGTAAAACTTTTAGGATGCTAGATTTTTCAGTGCTATTACGCAGGGTATTTCACCTCTTAGTTGTTATCTGAGTTGGGTTCTTTAGGGGGTATAGTTAATGGGTTTTTTCTTAATTCCATATCCACTAAATAACTGAGCATGAGAGTTTCTTTTCATCAAGATCCGATCATATCATAGATAAGGAATTTAAATTTAGTTTTTTACAAAATAGAGAAATTAATACTCCATAAGTTTTTAATAAATTTTAGAATAAATTCCACTTTTGGTCCTGCGATTATCGCATCAATTCCACAATTTGTCTATGTCTTTGACTTTGACCACTATAGGTACATCACTATTGAATTTTCGTCCAAATATGGACCTTCTCTCAAAGTTAGTAGCAGTTAAAATCGCTGGAAAATGACCACAAATGGTCAAGAAACATTAGTCAAATATTAAAAGTGGACAAAGTGAAAGACATTAGTCAAGTATTAAAAGTGGACAAAGTGAAAGACATGGACCAAGTGTGTAAGTTATATAAAACTCATATAGGACCAAAAGTGGAACTAATTCTAAATTTCATACAAACAATGATAGAATGGAAATCCTCATAAACAACTAACCCAGGAAGTAGAACTTTAACGAAAAAAGCTCATGTTTGACACAGATGTAGGTTTCGATTGTAGCAATCCATCAAGAGCAATAAGTAAAGACAGGAGAGTATCACACGGAAATCAAAAACTGAAATTTTAGTCAGAATGGAGCCAAAACTGTAGAAATTGGAAACTTTTTTACCTTCTTCATTCGAGTTTTAATCTCTGATTTGTGCGCTCTGTTGTAAATGCGCCTTTTCTCAGCTTGCCGCGCCCTTTTAGACGCCGAATCCGCCTTCTGCTTCGACTCAGCTTCGCACACAATCGACCGACGAATTGGTCTTTGCAAGGGCATCAACTTAACGGCACCTGAAATCATTTTTTAGATGAAAAAGTAGGGATTCAGATGACAAAATGAATGACCAATCTGGATAAAAAAAACAGCTGTTTACCTTTTGAGAAGAGGTTGAGAGAAGTGTTGGCTGAGAAGCTCGGGAAAGAAGCGTTTGAAGGAGTGGAATTAACATTGAGATTCCTGAACTTTCCAGTGAGGCCCCAGCAAGATGAAGACGAAGCAATACAAGCTCCCGACATTGGGTTCTATCTCTACAACCTCTCTGTGGTAAAGAGAAAGCAAGAAGCTATCTATCTAATCTTTATCGGCGGCCATTAGTGGCTATACTTGGATGTACTCTAGAGTTCAATTTGAGTGTATTTAAGATTAATAAGGGGATTTACAATCTTGTTAATAGAAAATTGGGAGAATTCAAAATATAAAATATGACTAAACAGAAATATTAATGTTTGAAATTCCAAAATAATACTATTATGTTGTTTTTTGCGAAATAGAAATAAGATGACAATATTTACTGTCATCTTTTAATCATGACCGTCTTACAGCTGCAGTACCATGCATTCAACATGACAATACTTATTATAAATAACAATATTTTTAAATCATGATAATATTTTTCAATTATGACAGTAATAACTCCTCTTTCGCAAAGGAAAACATAGTAATTCTATATTGGAATTTTCAAAGTTGGTTACTCGTATTTCGCACAATTTTTCTAAAAGTTCATAAAGCATCTCTGCATCATCCTTGAGTTTTTCTTAATACCCCTATTGTCTCGTTAAAAGGTTCTTACTTTTGTTATTTGGTTGTCTCATTTAAATGTTCTTATTCCACTATGAAAATAATGTACTCTTTTTAATTACATATTTACTCAATTTTCTCTTTCATATTCGTTATATGTCAAGTCTCACAATGTCTCATCCTCCATTTTATCTCCTTTTAATTGCTTTCTCCTCCATTTTATCTTCTTTCAATTACTTTCACTCTATATGAGTACTTTTTCTAAATTTTCTTTTTCCTCTCTTTTTTATCAAAACTACTTCATTTAACCATATGACTAAAACAAAATGTCATTTACTCATGGGAAGCTTCCAACGGGACGAAGAGTAAATATTACCTCCATCCTAAAAAAGAAAAAGTTCTTGAAGAGAATTGCGGCTTTGGAAGCTCAAAAAATCGCCTCAATCTATGAACGGATTCTTCATAGCAGATGGCATCAGATATGGCGTCTGCAGCTAGCGTTATAGAGTCAGATTGTGATTTTAGTCTAATCCGATTGTCAAATTGTGAACTCCCTATTGGACTAGCTCAAAAAAAGCGCCACAAAATCCTCTAATGCTCAACCGTTATTAGAGGATTAGAATTTTCTTTCTAATGCTCAACCGCATAATTCTAATAACACGGATTCTTCATAGCAGATGTCAGCTGTCAGATTGTGATTATAGTCCAATTTACATCCTCTCATCGTGCCGTCCGGTTGGTGTTGGGGGTCCTCAGGGATGGGCTGTCATTCTTTTAGGGGTAGGGAGTTCATAAAATAATACTCCCTCCGTCCCATTTTACCTGTCTTACTTTCCTTTTTAGGTTGTCCCAAAATAAGTGTCATTTTTCCCTTTTTGGAAAGAAATATGTGGTTCACAACATTTTACTTTACTATACTCAAATCTCAATCACAACTTTTACCTTTTCAACCACTTCATTAAAAATTATGTTAAAACTAAAGGGGAGACATAAAATGGGACGGAGGTAGTATAAATCATGGTGTAGTCTCTTATTTGTCTTATTTACTCAATTATTTATCTAAGCTTTAATTGTTTAGTTAAATAATCTCACTCGGAAAACTCACACATTATAAACGCATGCACGTTGAAGAGTCCATCACAAACTCTTTTCCTCAAAGAGTATAAGGGGTTGTTTACTTACTCCGTATTTTTCTATTAAGTCCTGTGTGGATTAAGATGTATGTATTGATTAAGACATCTGTCTGGATTAAGTCACACTAGAATAACAAGTTGTTTACTTTGAGTGCTGAATGTGCAGTCTGAATCGGATCAAGTGACTAATTTACCCAGGGGCGGCCCTAGGGGTGGTGCAAGTGGGGCGGGCGCCCTAGGCCCAAAAAATATGGGTAAAAAATAGGCCCAAGTTTAGTTCTTTGTAACAGATGTGAGTAGGCTGATTTTTCGGCCCTAAAGTAACAATTTTTCGAGTGGAATTTGTTGAAGTTCTTCTGAATGGATTTTTTAGCGAAACTTATGATCATGTTTTCTGTGAAATTTAGAGTATGTGAGAAAAAATCAATTTAAAGTTTAATTTAGAAGTCACCTACATAAATTATTGAAAACACTGCTTTTTATACATATTTTGGTGCATTGTGTTTCAATAATTTATTTAACTGACTTCACGATTGCATTTTAAACTGAAATTTTATGGAAATAATATACATGTGATGAAAAACATTCTCTTGAAATTTCATAAAGAAATTCCACTCCAAAGCATATTAGTAGATATGATTATTTGATTAGTTTATTAATTGATTCCATTCATGGTTGTTTAATTTCTTAATTGTTGATTGTTTTCTATTGAGTGTTGGGGTTATAACTTGTTGATTTTGTTAGACAAACATTTTCAATTATGATAAAATATATATACTTAATTAATTTCAAAGTGTAATAAAAAGGATTGAATCTGAATACGATAAATACAAAATAATAGAAGATTAGAGAAAGAGGCGATAAGAAAAAAAACTCAATGGAAAAGTTTGTTTATGTAAAGAAGTCAAATTCTGAATGTCCTTCTCAAAATGAGAACACAGTCAAATTCTAAATGTCTCAAAATTATAATTATTATGCATGTCATTTAAGATAGAAAAGAGTTATACAATTTTTTGTAACATTAGGCCCATTTTAGTTTTTCGCCCCTAGGCCTTCGAACATACATGGCCGCCCCTGAATTTACCCTTCTGTCTATGACGCTGAATATATATTATATGTTTACGTTTTCTGTTCCGAATGAAATAACTACAACATACGAAGTATTAAATTCACAAAATATATAGGACGGCAAAAATTCAAGAATACTATGACAATATATTAAATTTATCAAATTTTAAAAATTAATACACATTAATAAGTCAAAACCTAAAAAACAATAACCCAATATCATACTCTGTGTTGTGAAATATTATCATATTTTTTGTAATAGAATAAGAATACAAAAGTTGGTCTGAATAGTCCTAATACAACCACTACAATTACAACTATAAAATATCTTGGACAATATATTTCTACCCCACTAAATTGACCCATTGTGTTCCATCTATTTCTTCTCCACATTCTTGAGCTTCAACTTGTCCTCTTTCAGTGTTCAAATCTGCAATATGACTACAAAAAAGATGCCCAATTGCTCATCTCCTAATACAAAAGTACAGAACTATCACTGCACTATTATTAAAGATCCCCTATACTAGCCAATATGATAAACACGATTGGAACAAATACGTATACATACAGCCAAATTAGTGTTTATGCAAGAAATTTAGGCAGCTTCAATTGATCCCAATTATCTAAAATACAATCAATTTAGGTAGCTCCAATTTACTTAGGAAATTTATCAATTTAAGACCTAAAAGATGAGTTTACTATCAAAAACGGAAGGATCCCCATAAAGCTAAGAGAAAGTATGGAATGATTAAGTGTGGTAAATGTAGACAGCTTGGCCATAATAAAAGGTCTTGTAAAGAAAATGAGCAGGTATAATTTATTTAAAACACTACTATTATACTTGACTATGTATATTTGTCATAATGTATTTCTTTCGCAGGAAATCTCTTGATGATGTTCTCAGGGACGAATTTAAGGGGGGGCGCGGGGGGGCGACCGCCCCCCTTGGACTTTCAAAATATTCTACTATATATGTAATATTTTCATAAAATTTTCATACTTTAATTAGATGTATATGTTTTCGCCCCCCTTATCTTTTAATTTTCAAAATTAATATAAAGCTCACATATTGTAATGTTTAATTGGAGATTTCAAAAGAAGCAAAATCTAAAATAATTTACATAATTTTAACAAATAAACAATAGAACAACTCATTGTTTAAGACTTAAGATACCTATTATATAAAAATTCATAGTTTTGTAATGTTTAATTATCTTTATTAGCTAGATAATTAGTACTCGATTTCATAAAATATCAATGGTATTAAATATCATACACAATAGTTAAATAGTTTTTAAATTATTTAAAGTAAATCCAAAATATAAATGTTTGTTGACACTAAATTACACAATCAATTTACTTCTTACTTCGTAAAACCAATTTGTTGCATAGATAATAAATTTTAACTTATTTTAGCATTAATACAAATATAATATGCATCATTTATACATGAATTAACAATATTACGTATCATATTACTCTAAAACTAATAATCTCATAGATACTATTGTAATATTAAGAAAACTCCTCGTCATCCACGAATATCCTGCTTCATAGATAAAAATTGCAATTCAAAACCCGATTCTTTAATCTGATGAGATCATGTGGTTAAACAAAGCAGAAGTTATTCAAAAAGCTTCGGTTCATGTGTACCTTTTAAACTCTTTACCTTCAAATATTTTGATAAAATGTTATATCTTTTCTTTTTTTCAAATAATGTTACAGAGCACTTAGATTTTTTTAATAGAGCACTTTAAAATTTTATAGAGCACTTAGAATTATTGAAACAATGTTACTTTTTCATTGTCTAAAATTTGAATGTAATAGATTAAATGTCACCGTGCATTGACTCATGGATTTTTTTGAACATAAACTAGCCGCAGAGTCCTACACTGCGAAAAAGTTTCGCCCCACTACAGTATCAAAAAATTTCGCCCCACTACACTAGCGGAAAATTTTCGCTCTGCTACACTAGCGGAAAATTCTTGACCTCCTACACTAATGAAAAAAATTCGCCCCCCTTGAACTGAATTCCTGGATCCGTCCCTGGATGTTCTGTTTTGTCAGCCCCCAACATCCTCATCACATAAAGAAGAAGAGAATGATCCATGTAGAGATGGCAGAAGACAACAACCTTAAAGAGGATGCTTCATTGTTATCTTTTATTTAATTGGCAAAGTTGAAACTTTTTTATTTTACCTTTTGTTGGAATGGCAGTGTTTAAATAAGAACTGTTTACAAGTTATGTCGTTTTTATCTTTGTCATACTTAAAATTACTAGACTTAAAGTTGGAGTGTTATTTATTGGTATTTCATTTTTTTATCTTTTTAATGGTCAGAACTGTTTGAATTAGACCGTAAGTGTTTTGATTTGTTCTAAGGGATTTGTTTGGATTAGAAAATACATTCGTATTGTAGACAAAATATTTGTTC